TGTAGCAACATAGATTGCGTTGGTATTAAAATGTAATACTTTAACTATCTTTACAAGATTATGGTTAAAAGAATTACTTAGCAAGTTGCTTAGGATCCCAGAGCAGCCATGTCATATGATAACTCAAATCTGATTATATCATCTAGAAATAAGTAAAATTGAATGAATGAAGTTTATTCACAAGAAAGCATATGAAGAATTGTATCCAAAGAAGCTTACAAATGTAAACCACTGTTATTTCTTAATAAATAACTTAATGCTGCTTTTTTCTGACCTTCAAAATAGGAGACTAAAGCTAAAAACATTCTACAATAAGTCTTTAATTTAAAAAACCAAGTCATTTTGTGATTAATCTATAACCATAAAAGGCAGTTTATTGTTGCTGTCTTACTAAAAGGGATATGAAAATTGAGACAACTCCTCAGATAATATTTGATACTAAATAAAATATGTATGAATTCTCCAAGGAAAGTAATTTAGAATTTATTGATTCCTAATCTTTTATAATAAATGTCAAATAATATAGATATTTATTATCTCCTTAATAATCATGCTGTTAGACTTACCTTATGGCAAAATATTTGGCAATTTTTGAGGATTCAAATCAAGATTCTATATTAGTTTATCCTAATTGATACACTATTTTATAATGAGAGTTATTTCTGAAAAAATGTACATTGAGCTCCAGCTTTGAAGTGCCATGAATGTATGTTTCAGAATTGTAGAACAATACTGTTGTGAATTGTGGTATTTCTGAATGTGTTTTAAGGATAGTTTTGATAATGTTATTAGTTTTGTGATAGAAATGCATAAAAAGAATATAGCATGCATGCACAGAATTTCTCAATTTCACTTTTAAAAACAAAATATCCTTAAGTCACTCACATACATTCAAGCTCAATATGAGGGTAACTATAGGTCTATTTAACAGGGTTAAAGGGTAACCCGGTTAACTAATAACTACTGTTATTATGGGTTCTTAAGATCTGCTTTCAGTGTGTATCTATGTATGTGTGTGTGTGTGTGTTTGAGTGTGTGTGTATGCATGTGTGTGTGTATATATATGTTTGTGTGTATACACATACATATATATTCATACACATGCACACACACACACACACACACTGAAAAATTCACTAAATAGTTTTTCAAATATCTAATTTTAATAAATGTCAATAAGGTTTGTTTTGCAAATTATATGCTTAGTGTCTGAGAAACATAAGTTTTCAGATTTGAAAAATGCATTTTCTGCAGTTTTTAATCACAAACAATTGTAGAAATAATACAGCTTCAATTTAAGGATGATGACACAGTAGTTGCTTTTCTAACATATGAAAAAAATTCAGTAGATTTAGTAATAAATGCTTATCAAATATTACATTTATCTTAAAATATAGAGTTGTCTAGACATTATCTATTATAGTTCATTTATAATTTAGATTCATAGATTAATAGGCACCTGAGAAAGATTGATTTGAGTAGGCTTATAAATTTAAAGAGTAAATGAATAAACAAATACATTTTAAAACCCCATTAATAACATTAAAAGAAATTGAATTTAGCTACATCATTAAAATAACTGTCCATATTTCTTCTTTTTGGGTAAGTCTATGATAATAAGACATACTATAAAGATATCTTTATATAATTTAGAATTTAATTTCTATATTTAGCTTTGTTTGATATCTTGTTTCTTATTGAATTAACTTATTTTGTATACCAACATAGATATAAAGAAATCAGTATTCAAATGTTTTATTACTTTAGTAAGATCAGTATTCACTAATATGAACCAATTAGAAAATTATTCTCAATAGAATATTTAAAATTAATTTAATCCCCAAAGATATAACATGACAACCTGATAACTGTATACATGATTTTATCATTTACAGGTTGTCTATCTAGTTTTTGAACCATGCTCCTAAATTTTACTGCCAGTAACTAACACTAATGTATTGGGGATTTTTTTCTCAAGGAAGCTGTTTTAGGGAATTACTTTTATCTACTTATAAGAAGTGTACAATTGCATTTTAATTCTGGTATATAAAAAACAGTTGTTAAGGTCTCAGTTCATTCAGATGATCTTCCTTCCATTGCATTTTTTTAGAGAACAGTTCAGAAAAATGCAAAATATGTTTGCCTGGCCAATAAAAACTGCCTAGTAGATAAGCGTCGTCGGAACAGATGTCAGTACTGCCGATTTCAGAAGTGTCTCAGTGTTGGTATGGTAAAAGAAGGTAAAGCATTCACCAATATTAGCTCACATATTGTTAATACCAAATAGGTTGCTTTTAAAAAGCATGGCTTTCGTATTTTAATGGTGAATTTTAGAAATAATGGTGAATGCCCTATTTCTATGTGATTTACACATGTGTTGAAAAGCATATTATGTTGTAACATCTTCGTTCCAAATGATAAATAGATTCTTCAAAGAATCTCAGCAGTCAGGCTTAACTTTTAAAGGAAGCATTTCCACGATTTCACACGATGCTTGTTTTAAATCTTTAGACACAGGAAGGAAATTATTATATTTTATTTGTAAAATAAAAATTTGCAGTGTTCTGAACTGCATTTAATTAAAATTTTAATAGATTTTAGTAGATATAATAGTGGTGACTGATCTGAATGCATAAAATCAGATGCTAATTATTATTATTAATTATTAAAACACGCTTTTTGAATCTTTCTGCAATTTCAATGTATTATTAGGAAAGTATTTATTAAAGTGTCTTTTATTGATATATATTTTTAAATTATATTTTATCAGACATATCCTGCAATAACTCAGAATTCGTATCTGTTGATGTTTTAATGCATCAACTGAATTTTTGATTACTTGGCATTATAGTTAATTAAAATCATTAATGAAAACTACCCCTGAAAAAAACCCTATAACTATCTTGCTCCTACAATTATGCAGTCATAAGATGCATGTATTAAATTTCCCTGTACATAAGCTCAAATATTATATTTTAATTGCAAATGTCATAGGGTCTTTCTAATTTATGGGGGTATATGGAAACCTTCTATTATGAAAAACTCATGCTTACACTTAAGATGAATGACATTGTTAAATTGTTGTTATGGATTCTTTCCCCAATAACATCCATTTATATAAATGAAGTGAAACCTGTTAATAATAATATGAATGTATAAAAAAAGAAATACTTTTGTTGTTTGATTTTATTATTTGAAAGTGATCGTGCAGTGTTAACTCTATTGGGTTCCTTGTAGAAATTTGCCATGGTCCCTTTCAAACTTGACTGTGTTTTTGTTTTTGCTCCTTGACTAGTTGTCCGTACTGACAGTTTGAAAGGAAGAAGAGGCCGTCTACCTTCAAAACCAAAGAGTCCTTTGCAGCAAGAACCTGTGCAGCCCTCCCCTCCGTCTCCTCCACTCAGTATGGTGAATGTTCTTGCGCAAGCTCTATCTGATTCTGAACCCCAGGAACTTGATTACTCCAGAGTAGGTTTCATGTTTTTCTGAATAAAATTATTTGACTAGTACTCTGGATTTTAAGTTATACGTTTATGTTTATGTGCTGAATTATAATAATAGTAATCTCTTTGCAATAACAATAGTGATTTAAATAGTTAAATTAACATTGAAGCCTGCTGAGAGTAATGAGGTAATTGTCCCAGGTTCCAGATATAAAAAGTATTCCAACTTTGATCAAATGTTTGAAAGTCAGGTGGATCAATATTTTTATTCAGGATAGTAAAGCAGTCAGTAAAACATAATTCCAAGAAGTATCTCAATACTTTCCAAATATTCCTATTTACAGAAATTCATTAACTTCAGTAGACAAAAGGAGAGAAAAAAAATCAATGACTTTCTATCTTTGAGCTTCCAGTAATTAATTAATATAATATCTAAAGAGATATTATACTTACTTATTTGATACAGAGGCTTAAATCAAAATTAAACAAAATCAAGCTACTAGATTTGGAGAGAAGATTTGATCTTCTCCAAGAGCTGTAACTGATTCCATCCACTTTGCATACAAGTGGATGCCGCTGGCATGTAGATGACACCTCCCCTTAAACTAGAGAATGAGTTTTGCTACAGGTTTCCTCTGAATGTTATGTTTCGGGGCTTTAGGACTGTCCCTCATGATCATTGACTGGAAATACCTGCTGATATAGAGATGTAACCACCATAAAACAGTGTCCTGAACTCTCAACTCTTGAAAGTGATCTAGGAGAATTCTATTGGGCAATGTTCCTGAACTGAGACAACTTATAGGATCATGTACCCACTAGTGCATTCTGATGCAACCAAGTGACTAGAACAGTAGAAAAGTTCTATGTATATCATCACACCACTGCCTAAAAATATCCTCTCTGAGCAGCGATCGTGGAAACGCCATGATGAATGCAATGGTTTGCTAAATTGGTAAGGTGAGGACTGGTCCTAGTTGTTAATAATTTTATTAATTCTTTCTTGAATAAGGGTTATGTCTCTTTCTGCTTAAAGGAGACTATGCATTCACAAGATTATTTTTTTTAAAAAAACTTCCTTTTTATCTGGAAGTCCTGGAAAAATGTGTTGGTCAACCATACGAAGTGCTTAAAAAGGGAGTGGCCTGATATCTCCAAACAATTGGAATTTGCTAATAATCTATATTAATTTCTGTTGGGGTCTCACAAAGACTGGGATCATCTTAGTGAGTGATATATACTAGAAAATGGATTGGGGAAATTTAGTCTTTCTAGTTCATTAAACTCTCAACAACTTTTAAAGACATAGTATCCATTCATTGACTTTGCTGGGCTGGGGCCTGTTTTATATTGGTTCCCCTTTTTTCTCATCAAGATTATGACTACTAATAAGATGGTGCTTGTAATCCTATGCATACAATGTCTAATTTGGCTATATGATGTTAATTTTTAAACGGGACTAATTGCAAGTGCACAATAGTACAGTGGAAAGCTATATATGACAAAATTGCATAGACTTGTAAAAAATGGAGGTGGCTGGTGGTAATATTACCCAAGTAAGCAGTAAAAGTTTCTTTTATCTGAAAAACTGAAACGGCATATTTTATGCAATACAAGATTGCTGTTGAAAAAAGCATTTTGGTGTATCCATATTTTCTTTGTGTTTCAATGTCTTGTATCACTTTGTGATTATAATAGCATAGCATTGTACTTTCCCATTTCAGCTTCTTGTTATTAGTTGCTGCATTTGAGATTCATTAAGACATATAGGCCATCTGAAATAAAGAATCATAAGAAAGAAAAGAAAGAAAAAAATTGGATACAAGGATATTGACACAGCCATATAAAAATAAGTACGCAGGTGCATTAAAAAATTATTCTGCAAGACAGTTTGATATCTACAAATGAACTTTAAATAGAAATTTAAACTGGAGAGCTCTTCATCAGCCTTTTATCTAGAAAAACATCCTACCCACAAAAATAGATTTATTCCAGGAAGAAATAGTGGTTGCCTGGTTGAGTCACCAAAAGAAGAGTTAGCCAATTTTTAAAGATGATACAAGAATTGCTTAGATCTTCCTCTGTATCTTTGTGTTAAGTAATTATTCATAAACTCCAGGTATAGACTAAAATATACTTCACTACTTATAATACTTTCTTATCATTCAGTGCTGATCTAATTGCTTTTCTTCTAGTACTGTTCTACGGAACAAACTTCTGCAGGTACAGATGCAGATCATGTACAACAATTCTACGATCTTCTCACTGCCTCCATTGAAATATCTAGAGACTGGGCAGAAAAAATCCCAGGATTTACTGATCTCCCTAAAGAAGATCAAACTTTACTCATAGAATCAGCTTTTTTGGAACTTTTTATATTACGACTATCCATAAGGTACATCTGAGATTCAATAGTGGAAAACTGATTATTTTATAATCTGCTTGAATAAAACATTAAAACAAAATATTTGTTTTATGGATTGATAACTTGCAACCCAGCTTATTTATATAAATAAGCTGCTGTTTTTCCTCTTGTTAGGATATTTAAGCAAGTAGGAGTGGATAAAGCAGAATTCTGGAACAACAATCAAACACCCTAGTGGGCTAGTTTACGCATGGAGTGGATTATATAGTAAAACTAATAATCATATCTTTCATTCATCTTTCATTGAAATGAGAATATTTGCTGAAACCATTGCCTTGTATAATTTATGTTGAGACCTTGTTATCGGTAGTATGGTTCTGTTAGTTCTCTTAAACTTTTTGGAAGCTTTAAAAAACAACTTTAAATAGTAAAAAACTTTAAATAGTAGTACTAGTGATATTAGAACTCTGGATAAGATTCTGTATAAGCTTGCAATTCTCCAGAAAGAACAAAATGGAGTGCTCCTCTACCCTCTATCTAGTGTTTCTGGATTTCCAAATGGTATGGTGTAGCCTTCGAATGATTATGTTTGGTACGCCAGTTGCAACAGTTCCTAAAGTGGTTGGATGTGTAATACTTCCTGATACCATAGTTATATCCCAATTTGATCAATGAAATGATGCTATGCTAAAGGAATATTTCAGTGGTTAAATGAATATCAAATGCAGCACTAAAGCTGCTAAATGGTACAGAATACTAAAAAGAACTATGTTGAAAGACCTGCACTGGCTCTTTATCATTTTCTGGGTACAATTCAAGATACTGGTTTTAATATTTAAAATAGCTTGGCGATCTAAGAAGCTATAATATTTATCTCAATATGAACCCATTTGGATATTTAGGAGACCTATTTGTGGATTTTAGAGGTCCATTAACTGGTCATATGAGAAAGTTTTCTTTCTCTTTAGGCTTTCACAATAGTCAAAGCCTTCCTCTTCACCATGTCTTTGGAATTTTAATTTTAATTGCTTTTATTAGATTGTCTGTTTTCCAATTTTACTATTAGTCACTTTGAGTACCCTTGGGCAGAAAAACAGGAATAATATTATTTAACTCACTCACTGACTGGCTGACTTGATTGACTGATTGTAAAAATGCCTAACCATCTGGGAGATTATTGTTGTTATTAATATTATTATATTATTATAACATACTAAATATTTTGCTGTAAGGATTTGATTTCATGGAAGAACATTAAAACATGTGGCTTATCTATCTGAAATGATACTATCCAGGAATACATTTGTAACTATCTACATAAGTGACTGGCTGGAGTTTCAGGTCCATTTAAATTCATCTTCCAATTGACTCCATTTTATTTTATCTCCCTCTGTTCATCCACCAGCATAGGTTGAAGAACACTCAAAATGTCACCCTAAATAGCTACAATTATATTCAGTGACTATCCTAATAAATAGGGTATGAGATCAGCTTGCTCAAATGCCTCAAATGTAGCATATTTCAAAATGAGAAACATGTATAGATCTATTGGTAGTAATTAGATAATGTGCATTATGCAGCAGGATATATACTGAAAAGTTAGTTGTATTCATAGAATATGTTTTCTTTTTTTTTTCAATAAAGATCCAACATTAGTGAAGACAAGCTTGTTTTCTGCAAAGGGCTTGTACTTCATCGACTTCAGTGCCTTCGTGGATTTGGGGAGTGGCTTGACTCAATTAAAGATTTTTCTTTAAATTTACAAAGCCTCAACCTTGACATCCCAGCCTTAGCATGTTTGTCAGCTCTAAGTATGATTACAGGTTAGTATTTTTTTATTCAAAATAAATTTGTTTTATGGATATTTATATTGCACTATATGTGAGTAAATTTCCATCTTAATAAATTCCAAAAAGACTGTATGCCTGCAATGTAATTCAATTAATTTTAATATAAAATTACATTAAAATGCATTACATCTTTTCAATAATCAGACTAAAAAACAATCAAAATTACAATATGAAGTGTACAAATTATATTACTCAACTTAATTCATGTTGCTAATTTTTCCAGGATGTCACAATATTATATTAACATAATATTGTAACTGGTGAAATATTCTATTGCGTATCCTCAGCCTGAGCTACTGCTGGTACAAAGCTTTAGTTATCTTTAGGATCATGTGGTTGACCCTACCTCTGACAGTCCTTAAGAAGGTCCTGGAGACCTAGTTCTTCACTCAGGAATTTGGCCAGGAAGTCAGATATCTTTGACTAATATGATTATACATTATGACTTGTGTGGTGCAGTATGTTTTTACCGTATTCTGTGTTCTTATTTTTATCATTTTCCATGTATTTTCCACACACACATACACTCACACACATACACGCACACATGCAGACATATATAAAAGCAAATCATTCAGAAAGAACTGAATGGGAATGAATTGGAAGGAAAGCAATTGAGAGAAACTTTCCTGGAACAGAAAGGTAGGAAGGCACAGCAGCAGAACTGTCCAATGGGTAGATAGAGCAGTCTCTAATCCAATCAGAATGTTTTTCATGATATTGCCAAACTGGACATTTGGCAGGATTTTTTTTAGATGCTTAGAATCAAGCCAGTATGATCTTATGATAGGAAAAGCTTAAGTCTGGATATCCTCAAAGGAAGATATTTCTAGAAATCTGTATTTAAATAAACTTGTAAACATTTTGCCCCAGGATATATCTATACTGTAATATAAACTTATTATTTTATGCCCATCAAGGATATTGCACATTGGAATGCATATAAAAAAGGGCTGGAGCAATACTCCTGATATCAGTCTGATCACTTTTCCTTGCCCTCTCAAAGGACACCACTGATACTAGTTTAACTTCACCACAAAAGAATCTGAGGTTGCATTTCATGTGTGAAGGTGTGAAGCAGTGGTGGGTTCCTCCCGGTTCGGTCCGGTTCGGCTAAGCTGGTAGCGGTGACGATATGACGTCACCGAACCGGTTCTCCCCCCCGCCCTCCCACCCACCCACCCACCCACGTTATTCTTACCTTTTATTTGGTCCCACCCCCAATCTATTGCTGCCTCCTGAGTCCCAGCTGATGACTAGAGGGGAAAAAACTGTTTAAACTCTTGCCGCGGGGCTTCAAAGGGCCGTCCTACAGCTGATCAGTGTTAAAAGCAAACAAATTAGTCAGGTCGTAAGTGCGAGGAATGGTCGTAAGTGCGAGGACCTTCCAGAAATGACTCTGACCAGCTAGCCACGCCCACCTAGCCACATGACCTCCAAGCCACACCCACAAAATAAGCCACGCCCACAGAACCGGTAGTAAAAAAATTTAGAACCCACCCCTGGTTTGAAGTTAATTTGCCTCCTTGGGTAGTGCAACAGTGTGAACTAAATGAACTAGCAACTGCTGGCAGCCAGACTTGTCTTTAGATTATCCTGACTCTCCAAATACATGGCAACAAAAACAAAATAATGAACCTTTTCAGGCTCAAATGATAAGAGAGATTGGTAATATTATTTGAATTTGCCAAATCAATGTTGAGGGGCTCAGCAGATCTAAGAGCCAATATGTTTCCAAACTTTTATTGGACAGTAACATAGACATGGCCATCTTCCAAGAAACACACATAGAAAACGAAGAATAGCAACTCAAAAGAGGCAAGATTTATGGCTACAACCTGTTGGGAGCCATTTGCCACTATGGCTATGGTGTTGTTACATATGTCAGAAGGAATGTAGTTAATGCCTCCTTAATGTCTGCCTCTACAAACAACAATATCCACGAAGTAGTTTTCAAACTAGGCAATCTAACAGTAGTGAACATCTATAAACCACCTCTGACAGCATGGCCACTGCATATCTTGAACATCAAACTGCACCCAATAATCCACCAAGGTGACTTCAATAGCCATCACATTAATACTTTTCCACTGATGACAAGGGTGAATAATTGTCCAAGTGGACTGCAGCAAAGTTCCAACTTATTTTTGTCACTAAAGAGAAGAGCATGTTTAAATTAATGGCATGGAACTGTAAAACCAATCCAAATGTATGCATCATCACAGAAGGCCCAAACTCGCAGCCAGTCTCCATAAACAGGAAAGTAATGGATAGATATATAGATACATATAGATATATAGACTCAACCCTTCCAAGACTGAGTGGCTGTGGATGCCGGCATCCTGGGATCTGGAGGTTCCATCCTTAATGATCGGAGGTGAAACCCTTGCTCCCTCCGATAGGGTCCGCAACTTGGGTGTCCTCCTGGATTCTTGGCTGTCTTTAGATGACCATCTGACGGCCGTAACCAGGGGGGCCTTCGCACAGGTCCATCTTGTGCGCCAGTTGCGCCCGTTCCTAGACCAGGATGCCCTCGCCATGGTCACTCATGCCCTTGTTACCTCTAGGTTGGACTACTGTAACATCCTCTACATGGGGCTGCCCTTGGGATGTGTCCGGAGGCTTCAGCTAGTCCAAAATGCAGCCGCGCGGGTAGTTACCGGGGCGTCTAGATACTCCCGTGTAACACCTCTCCTGCGTGAGCTGCACTGGCTACCGGTGGCACTCCGGATACGTTTCAAGGTGCTGGTGCTCATCTATAAAGCCCTCCATGGCTTAGGCCCGGGGTACTTGCAGGACCATCTCCAGCCGTTCTCCCATCGTCCTGTGCGCTCTCACAGAGTTGGCCTCCTCAGGGTGCCGTCGGCCAAACAATGTCGGCTGACGACCCCCAGGGGGAGGGCATTCTCTGTGGGAGCCCCGACCCTCTGGAATGGATTGCCCACTGAGCTCAGGACAGCCCCCGACCTTCTTTCCTTCTGTCGCGACCTGAAGACGTGGCTCTTCCGCCAATTAAACTGATCCGTTTGGGGGTACACTGGTATAATTTTAAATTGTTTTTTTTAATTGGGTTACTGATTTTAATTTGGTATTGTATTGTGATTTGTATTGAAGTTGTCATTTTGTAAGCCGCCTTGAGTCCCTAGGGAGAAAGGCGGCATATAAATCGCAATAAATAAATAAATATTCCTGCACAGGCAACACCATCCTATTTTGGTAGAAGTTGGAATCCACATTCCCCTAATTTGCTATATCCCTAGACCCTGATAGAACTTTCAAAAACTCAACTGGCACAAATTTGCTGAAAATCTTGTTAAAACTATATTCCACCAAGTAGTCAGCACTGTCATAAATTCATGAAGACAATAATTGCCTCAGCGAAAAAAAACATATACCTCGAAGATTTAGAAGATAATACATCTCAGAATGGAATGAGGAGATTGAAGGACTCTATCAAACCTTTGGTGATGGTGATCCAGAGATCCAGAGATCCAGAGTGGTGATCCAGAGATCGCTGACAATCTCTTACACAACTTGCAAGGATGGAGCTCTGTGTAAGAAGTGGGAACAATACATAGAATCACTAAATTTCAGCAAATTCAGCAGGATATTATTAAGGAAACTGGGTGGAGTTAGACAACCTACATGACAAACACCCAATATAACTCTTGACCAAATAGTCTCTCGAGTTGTATCTCTCTCCAAAGCTCCAAGGGACACTCTACTCTCATCAAGAAAGCGCTTTCAACTTTTTGGGAAAAAGGCCAAAAATTTTCTGAGTACTCCAGTCCCTTCTCTATAAAGAAAATTGATGCTGCCATTGATAGTCTGAAATGTGGTAAAGTACCAAGCTTCGATGGCATTCATCCAGCATTCTTGATAAACTTCAGGAGACACACATGGAATTGAATCAGTAAATTCCTCTCAGACCTAGTTTCCAATGGCTGCCTCCCACCAGAATTCAAAAAACTTAAAATAATATCACTTCTAAAAGTTAGCAAACCAGAAGACAGAGTTGAAAGCTACCACCCAATCACCCTTTTGCTGCTGCTGGAAACTCCTGGAAATATTAATTATAAACAGGATAGGTCCCATAATAGATGAACATCTGCCTGTGGAACAAGCTGGCTTCTGATAAGACAGAGTAATGTAGACTAGGTGCTAAGCCTAGCAGGCTATATTGAAGCAGGATTCCAGCAATATGCTTCCACCTTAACAACAAACTAGCTTATGAAGCCCTAAAGCTCTATTTAAACAACAACTTACTCCCCTGTGATCCCTATCCAAAGTACATTGGACCGGACTCTCTCCTACAGAAACACCTAGGGAATACGACGGCAAAAATCAATACTTGGAGCAACATACTCCAGAAATTATGTAGAACTAAATGGGGAACTTCAGCTGCCACCCTCAGGTCATCAGCACTCTAGGGTTGGTCGTCCCAAAGGTGCTTTTTCAGGAGGCAACTGGACTTTCTTGTTTTTTCTTTTGAAAAACCATGACCTGGATCACTGAGAATCTCTATAGACTTCTAGGATTGGTCTACTGCACAGCAGAATATTGTGCCCCTGTATGGCTTAGCATATTAGTAAGTTATACTCCAGACTCAACAACCCGATGAGGATTATAAGCAGATGTATTAAAATCATTCAAACTTGCTGGCTTCCTGTCTTGAGCCGAATAGCACCACCAGCTTTAAAGCAAGATGCACTAGTAGTGAGAGAATACAGAAGAATTATGAACAACTCCTAATGGTGGATGCCAACCATCCTCATTTAACTGTGGAAGATTCAAATCCAGGAAATCTACCCCCCCTCGGCACTTGCAAAACATCTGTGCAATAACTTCTAACATTGATTCCCAATGGAAAGCCAAATGGGTCGCTGAATGCTTAGACACATAAATGACCCCACAAAAAAGATTTCAGGCTTTAAACTACCATGTCAGCAATGGAAAATCCTGAATAGGATTCACACTTCACATGGCATCTTGCAGGCCTCTCCGTATAAATGAGGCATAGTATCCTTCCCTGAGTGTGACTGCGGAGTCCCACATCAAACTGTAGATCACATTGTGTAACCTGAGGGCATATACCAATCCACTATCTAATTTTTTTTAATATAAACGATGCTGTGCTTTAGTGATTAGATGGCCTAGACATTGGTATTTGAACATAGATCTTTTTAACATTTATATTTTATTGTGTTTTGTGTTTTGCTAATCTAGGTAAAATATTAATATATTGCTAGTCCATGTATGATATTCAATATGCTAAATAAATAAATCAAAGAAAATGACTGCAAATTCATTTTCTGATATCATAGAATCATAGGGCTGGAAAGGACCTTGGAGGTCTTCTAAGCCAGGCTCCTGCCCAATGCTGGAGACCTTATACCATATTGGATAAATAGTTGTCCATTCTTGAAAGCCTCCAGCGATGAAACTGGAATAGATTGCAAAAATTCCTATTGACAATGAAAATAAGGCTACAGCAAACAAAGCAACACCTCATTTAAAATGTATTTGGGAAGTGTAGTTCTGTGAGTTTAGGAATTAAACAGTAAAAAGGCTAAATGTTCAGATGCAATATACTTCTGAATGCCAGTTACTTGGAAAATTGAGAGTTGTAGTGTCAAGCCATGCCAGAGCTCGCCATTGCTAGGGGGGTCTGGGAAAGACGTCACCTGTATGGAATGGGGAGCCGAGCAGCAGATGGCAGTTTCGAAGCGCAAGACGGCACGGCACACACGGCGATCCCTGAACCCTGAACCCTGAACCCATCAACTCGGTTCCTGGTCGGCAACGTTCGATGACGTTGGAACTAATGCAACTGCTAAACAGCTGATCAGGGGGGAATGGTTGGGATACTAAGTGCCGGATGCTGGTTTCGGAGTCAAGTTTGGGATAAATAGCGCTGTGCGGCAGTTGCGCACAGCGCTGACTTTGAACCAACCATCCGACTTGTGCTTTGCTTTTGGCTGTGAATCTACAGTACCCTTAGTAAAACTTGCAATCACATCCCTGTTTGTGGTGATTGTTACGTTCGCGGCTCAAGACGAAAGACAAGCTGAGATGTAGACACAATTGTTTTTGCTTTCTAGCAGAGTGGTCTTTGTCATAGCAATAATGCTAGATTAGATAGAGATTTCGCCTGGCTGATAGCACTATAAACTAATCTGCCCTTACATTTTGTTAGCCAAAAAAATCAAACTTTCTCCTCTTGCTAAGACATCTAATAGAAGTGGAATATTGGGAAATAGTGTACATGCTTTAGGATTATCTTTACCTAGACAGCATCATATGTTTCAGTACTTTACAAATAACATAGTCATTTATTTTAAGCTATAAAATAGCTAACTTTGACAATATTTTAATTTCTAACCCATTTAAAAAGTAAATACGCTGAAAAACTACAAAGTAATCCAAATAGCAAAGATTGGCTGAGCTGTCTGTATTTTCTTAAAAGAGTATCTGCAAATTCCTGCTGGAATTCTAGGCTTTGCACTGATGGAGCCAGCAATGGATATTGATCTCCCCTTGAATTCACTGAATAAATAATGGTTGCCATAGATATTGAGCATCCACAACTACTGAATAGGGAAGCTAGGAAATTACCAAAACATCTTCTGTGGCAGCTCAGGCCTCAAATCCTGGGGAAAAATAATGTCTGTGAAATGTAATGGTATGCATGCACCAATTAGAGTACTTGTTCATATAACCATTTTAGTCTCTGACTAGAAAATAAAATGCTATGCTTGAGTGTAACTGTAAGATTGGGATCAACTGGCATTGTACTTTTCACGTTCACATACTGGGCTACAGAACAGTTACATTAGTACTTCTTTTTTATACTTAATCACTAACACACTCATTTCCCATAATGTGGATGTTGAATTCTTTGTTTGCTATTGCTTTGCAGACCGTCACGGATTAAAAGAACCAAAGAAAGTGCATGAGCTATGCAACAAAATCATGGGCTGCTTGAAAGATCACTTGGCCTTCAACTGTCAAAGCAAAAGACAACTCATTGAGTCTGCAGAATCTAAAGTTCTTGGTGTCCTCGCTGACTTGCGTGCCGTCTGCACGCTAGGACTGCAGCGGATCTTTTATCTGAAATTGGAAGATTTAGTGCCACCTCCTTCCATTATTGACAAGCTATTTTTGGACACCTTACCATTCTGAAAGTCAAGTTTCCCTCATGAAAGGCAACTACTTACCAGAGCAGGCAAAAGTATCAGAATTGACTTATAACAATGCTGCTTTTCTTAAATGAAGAAAGAAATAATTTCAGTATTCTAATCATATACCGGTATATGGACTTTTCCCAATATATGTCTTTGCAAACTGAGGTCTAACATATAATTTACAGTCTTGGAGATGGGAATTATAGAATAGAAAGATTAAATGCAGGTTTGTTTTTTTAATGGCACTTTTTAATGATGCTACTCCAGCCAGAAAAAAAAGTTAATATTAACTGTATAAAAGCTAATTCCATAGCATCTGTTCTTATGCGGTGGATAGAAAATTGTAACTGCAATGGGTTTGAAAACAAGACTAATAACAACTGATTTCAATAGCATATATTTTATTAATTTATATCTTTAGCGTACTCATACCAGACCTCATTCTCTTCACATAAATTATTTTCTCTCTCTCTCTCTCTCTTTCCCTTGATAACGTTCATCCATGATTTCATAAATAAAATATAGTAAAATGACAATGGCTGTTAGCTCTCATGTTCAAGTGCAATTTTAAGGTGCTATTTTTGCTGAGTCTTGTTTATGAGCTGTAATTTAGTTTAATCCAATAGAGAGGTGAAAGAAATAAAATGGAAGAAACTGGCTTTATTACATGCACTAATTTCTAAGACAAAATTCTTCAAACTTTAGATCAGTGTAGTATATGTTGACAGCAGGGCATTAAGCAAAGATCGTATGCTTATTCCTTGGTTGATTAAGTCAGTAGCAATGGAGAAAATCTGAAGTAGGCAGGATTAGCATGGACATAGTAAGGCTAGAACTGAGCTTAGTGAATTAGTTAGTAATAGATTCAAGACAATTTGGATGAATTTTTTTGTAGAAATAGACTGAATGTAAATGCTATGAAGGGTTTATTGAGCATTTTAAACATTCCGTGTATGTACTTTCCTTTTTTGTATGTTTACTGTTAATGCCATATTAATATGAAATAATTTGTTGCACAGTGTCTTTATTTGTATAAATATTTGTATGCATGACATATTGTAAAGATTTGCCTTTATTTATTGCAATGACTGCCAGCTCATGGGAGCCTGTTACAAGAAAGATGAAATAGTGTACTCACAACAACTCAGTTATATAATGGGTTTGGGTAGTCTCATACACATACACACGTATGTGACCTTTCTGTTAACCAATTAAATATGTAGTATGTCTTGCACAAGTAAACCTGATCTTACCATGTATTTGCAGTGACTTTTAAGGCAGTAAAATTTAGCACTTTGATATTTAAATATTTGTTCATGTTTCACTAACTTTAATATTTAAACATTTTTGTTCTTTCAACAAAAAA